AATTATAGTAGTTTATAGTAAAGACAAAATTAGCTTTTCATGCCTTTGTGGCAAGATGGCTCCCAATCTTAAAAGGAAAGTAAGCTGGATGGATCAGGAGATATAGTTAAATGGTATAGCACCTGGGAGTTCAATGCCCAGGACTCCAAAATCAATAAACAAAAAGATAAAATAAAAAGTCTTTTGTGGGACTGAGGTGGTACAGCACTTGCCTAGCATTCAAGAGGTCCAGGTTTTGATTTCCAGCACTGGGGGAAAAAAGCCTTTTCAAATTCTCATCAAGTTTTAGCCAAGGCAAGCGGAAAATATTCCTGGCTCCCCTTCTCTCCCCACTTTTTCCCTCTGATAATCATCTCCTTTATTTTTTGTAGAATTTTTTTTTAAGAGAGAGAGAAGTTTTTAATATTGATATTTTAGTTTTTTGGCGGACACAACATCTTTGTTTGTATGTGGTGCTGAGGATTGAACCATGGCGGAACGCATGCCAGGGAGCACACTACCATTTGAGCCACCTCCCCAGCCCCTGATAATCATCTCCTTGAAGTTTGTATTTTAAAAGGGATGTTTTTGGGGGCTGGGGATATGGCTCAAGCGGTAATATGCTTGCCTGGCATGCGCGGGGCGCTGGGTTCGATCCTCAGCACCACGTACAAATAAAATAAAGATGCTGTGTCCACCGAAAACTACAAATATTTAAAAAAATAAAAATAAAAGGGATGGTTTTTCAGATAAGACCAGATAGGAGATTTATATCTCAAAGGCATAGAGAAATAATGGAAGTTTTCATTCAGAAATAATTGGAGGGGGAAATATTTGCCTGTTAGAGGTTTAGGATAAGGACTGGTTTGACTTTTTCTTAAGTGCAGGATAGTGTAGTGTCCTAACATTTTGCAGTAGGTACAGTTGATACCAGTGTTGAAGATTAAACACCACAAACAGTGAGGTAAGTATAAAAAGCAAGTTTTACTTAAGAAAGGGACAGAGGTAGCCGATTTCTCAGAGAATGGGGCCCAAAGCTGGGTGCCCATGGGAGTAAGGGTGTCTTGCTCTTTCATAGATCATGGACTGGAAACTCCACCTTCCTTTTTTCTTCTTTGTTTACTGTACCTAAGGGCAGGAAGGAATAGTATTGGGGTAATCACTATCAACTCCTTGTGTTGGGACTTATGATCCTAGAGGTTAGCAA